CAGATTTCCGCTAGCCTACGTCCAACATTTGACCTCAGCGGCGTCTGACCATGGGCCTATTAAGCTGCGATGGGAGGCTAGACCACAAAATTCATCGTGCAGACAAGGTAAAAGGCCTTTTCGGTATGAATTAATGTGGGAGCGACACTCAGATGATTTCAGGAACGTGCTTGCACAATCCTGGACTGACCAGCCAAGAGCATCAAATTTGGAAGAATTGAACAGGAAGCTTGGGGCCGTTTCGAGGTGTCTCAGAGGCTGGAATAACCAGGAGTTTGGCAATGTGAAGCGGGAACTCAAGGAACTTAACGCAAGGCCTGAACAGCTCCGTTCTGAGCCCCTACGGACAGGCCCATCTTATGAGGAGATTAAGACCGTGGACAGGATAGTAGAGCTCAACTACAGAGAGGAAGTAATCTAGAGACAACGTTCACGAGTTACATGGCTCAAAGAAGGAGATAGGAATACAAGGTTTTTTTCATTTGAGAGCGAACCAAAGGAAGAAGCGTAATAAAATTAGGAAGCTCAAGAAGGAAGATGGCGCTTTTATCGAGGTTGAGGAGGAGATGGCTAATCTCTCAACGACCTTTTATAGGGATTTATATACGCCCTCAGGGACGGAGGACATGGATCACCTCTTGGACTCGGTACTGTCAAAGTCACCAGTATGGCGATGAACGATGATTTATTAAAGCCGCTTAGTCCTCGATGAGGTGAAGTCTCGCTTTGTTTCGATGTTTCGACTAAAGCGTCCGGACCCAATGGCTTTCCTGCTCACTTTTTCCAAATCCACACCGAATGTTTGTGGGGAGGAGGTGACAGTGGTAGTGCTGTGGATGTTGCACGGGAGGATGATCCAGCCATTATCAATGATACAAGCTTGGTCATAATTCAAGGTGGAGAAACCAGAAGAACTTGGGCAGTTTAGGCCGACCGCTTTATGTAATGTGGTCTACAAAATGCGTAAAAATGGTGGCCAATAGATCTGCAGAGTATTTTACCTAAGGTTGTTTCGAGAGAACAATGGTTTTTGTGCCAGCCGACTAATAACAGATAACATCATCACAAACCTATGAGTGTCCAGCATTTTATGAAGAAGAAGAAGAGGCGTGACGATGAGATGTTGTGCTCTAAAATTGGATATGAAGAAGGCATATGACATGTTGGAGTGGGACTACCCGCAAAAAATCATGATTAAGTTGGGCTTTCACAGTCAGGGGTACAAATGATTATGAGAATGATCACCAAGGTCATTCTCAAGTCTTGTTTAATGACAAAAAATTGGAAAGTTTCAAACCTACAAGAGGTATTCGTCAAGGTGATCCAATTTCTCCCTATCTTTTTTATCGGGCAGCAGAGGGCCTTTCGTGCCTTTTAAAATCAAGAATTCACCATCGAGTCTCATGGGCATAAGGGTGGCTCCATCGGCTCGATGGTGCGCCATCTACTCTGTCTGCGGATGATAGCCTGTTGCTTTTCAAGGCGATAGAGAGAATACGGAGGAAGTGAGGAGTATTTTGAATCTATACTGCTGCACGCCCGACAAATGGATGAACTTGGACAAATCATCAATTCACTTTGCCAAGGGTCTGCAGTCTTTCTTTTGCACAAGAATGAGATCAAGGAGATTTTAGATGTTCATAAAGAGACCTTGAGTGAAAAGTACTTGGGAATATCAACGGATGTGGGCACGCTTCGGTGAATGCAGCGCTTTCATCTATCTTAAGGATCGGGTCTGGAAGAAACAATGCCTATCTGCTGGAGGCAAGGAAGTCCTAATTAAGGCAATTGCTCAAGCCATCCTGACATGTTCCATGTCTTTCTTCAGACTGTCGAGAGGATTATGCAGGCACATTGATGGCATCTTGCGGGACTTTTGGTGGGGAAGCAAGGAAGGTAAACCAAGAACATGCTGGGTGGCGTGGGATGACATGTCAAAGCCAAAGTTCATGGGAGGTTTGGGTTTTCGAAACATAGAGCTCTTTAACTCGGCACTGTTGGCTCACCAAGCTTGGCGTTTGGTGTAGGAACCGGATTCACTTAGCGCACGAATTTTGAAGGCAGCGTATTATCCGGAGAGTGATCTGCTAGATGCAGAGGTTGTAGGGACACCATCAAGGGTGTGGCGAGCGATTGTTAACGATGTTCAGATCCTTCGCCAGGGCTTGATCAGGCGAATCGGATCGGGACATTGACACGTATATGGGATATGTCGTGGATACCAAGGGACGGATTGATGCTACCGATGGGGACAGCGAGAGTGGGTTCACCGCTGGTGTTGAGTGAGCTAATTGATCAGATGTCCCGGAGTTGGAACATGCAGGCAGTGCGAGATTTTCTCAGTCCGTTGGATTGTGAGCTGATAGAAAGTATTCCATCGAGTACAAGTCCACAGGATGATTACTGGGCCTGGCACTATGAAAAATCTAGAGTCTTCTCGGTACGTTCAGCTTACAGAATGCTAGTAAGGAATCGGGAGATGCTTGCGGCTTGGGCCAAAGGGAGGACGGGCAGGTCTAATGTTGGTGCCCAGGAGAAAGAATGGACCGAGCTATGGAGTACCAAGGTCCCCTCAAAGGTTCAGGTTTTCTTATGGCGCTTGGCCAGACATTCTATTCCTACAGGAGATGTGCGTCACCATCGGAATATACCACGGATGCACGATGTCGTCTGTGCAGAGCAGCTGATTCGTGGAGGCACGCCCTTCTGGAATGCAATCTTTCCAGGTGTGTTTGGGCTCTTGAGAACGAGAGCATTGTTGAGTTCCTGAGCCAGAATCACTATGCGGACGCCCATACTTGGGTTAGCAGAGACCATCGGCTCACTTAAACATACATATATTACACGGGTGGTTGTCTGCCTATGGGCGATATGGTATGCGCGACGTCTGGTGATCCATGAGAACCAGTTCCAGAGCTCGTTCTCGACACACTCTTTTGTTGAGCGGTTTATAGGGGAACTTGAGGAGGTCAAGCAGGAGAGTCTGGGGGCTCGAACAACGGTGACACAGATGGCGGTGCCATAGGTGCCACGCTAGGTTAGACCCCCGAGAGGTTTGACTAAAGTCAACGTTGATGCGGTGATGTCGAAGAACTCAGGCCAAGCGGCGGCAGCAGCAATGGCCCGTGATGAAGATGGCAATTACCTAGGGCCGTCTGTCTTGGTGGCGGTAGGGCAGTCGGACCCAGAGGTGATGGAGGCGGGTGATGGAGGCCGTGGCATGCTGTGAAGGTCTCGCGCTGGCCAGTGATCTTGGCTTGCACTCTTTTAGAGTTGTGAGCGATTGTGCCAATGCGGTGAGGAGTTTACTAGGCAAGGGGTTCGGCAGGTATGGACCAATTGTCCAGGAGAAAAATGTTAAAAGAAGGAGTTTCACTATAGCGGATTTCGTCTTTGAAGGACAAAAGTCAAATGTGGACGCCCATATATTAGCTAGAAGCTATGTAAATTTATCGATAGGTAGACATGTTTGGTTTTTGAAGCCTCAACATGGAGTTTATAATTCTTATCTGAATAAATAAAGTCAATGCTCCCCTAAAAAAATATATCAACCGTGGTCCACGAACCTATACTGGGAAAACTGACAACGAACGCACACCTGAAAGGTTGAAACCGTCCTCAATTCCGTTACCGTTCTCTCTCCCATGGATTCTGCCGTGTTCTTCTTCCATGCCCCAAATTTCTTCATTTCTTGCAGTCTAGATCCTATTCTACCATGTCAATGCTCTCGTGAGGGCATCCGGATGGACGAACGTGGCTTCCCAACACGCCTCCGTGTCATCTGCTTCGTTCGTCCGCTTCCTTCTTAAAAAATCTCTCTACTACGCTCTGCCTCCACTACATTGCTCGTCTTCTCCACTCCGCGCTGCCCACTAGCCGTAGCAGCCTCCACCAAACCGGCAATACTCCACGATGGATGCTCCAGCAAGTAGGCAACAAGAGAAGCTTCGTGTGACGTCGCCTCACCAGCGAGTTGCCCGTGCCGCTGCCGCACCAGCGAGCTCCACAACGACGAGCCTCCATTCGTCCAAGCACCAATGTGACATTACAATGAAAGTGTATGTTTCAAGTGTTTTAGATGTTTCATCTGGATGTTGCATGTGTTTAAATTTGGATGTTGCAAAAGTAGATTGGGATGTTGCACATGTTGCAATGACTATACACGTATGTTGCAAGTATATGTTCCAGATGTTTCAGCTTTTTTCATATGCATGTTGCAAGTGTATGTTTTAAATGTTTCAGCTGTTTCAGACGATTGTTTCAAGTGTTTTATTTGGATGTTGCAATGGCTATACACATATGTTTCAAGTGTACATTCTTAATATTTCATCTGTTTCAGACGTATGTTGCAACATGTGCATTTCATGTTGCAAGTGTTTTCATTAGCGGGCGCAGGAAGCGAGTGCAGGCGGAAGCGGGGGTGGTCCCCGTGGGCACAGCAACATGTGTAGCAGTAGCAGACGGACGCGCAGCAGCACACGCGGGCAGGTGCAGCAGGCGGGGCAGACGCGGGTGTTCAGATGTCCGGACGCTAGCCACAATGTCTACTCGCTCTTGAGAAATCTTCACGTTGCACGACCATAGCCTAGGATTTGTAATTTTGTATGGGGCAAAGAATCCATGTGTAACATGGATATACACCAACTCTAGTGCTTCCTCCGTTCCAAATAAATACACATCTCGCTTATCGATGAGTCAAACATTTTAAAGTTTGACAAAATTTATACATAAAATGTATATCATTAGATTGAGCATGAGGTATACATCCATAATAAACTTATTTGAAGATACACATGTAATATTATTTTTTATATTTATAGTTAACTGCTCGTGAACGAGACGTGCATTTATTTTGAGACGGAGGGTTACTTTGTAGATCCTATTATACCATGTAATTTGGATTCTTTGCCTCGAGCAATAGTGAAATTTAAAAATGATATTTGGACAGGTGATCAAATCAAAGCTGAGAAACAGAACAATAATATCTCCTTTTCTTTTTTTCATCTCAGCAAGGAGGAAGCCTCCGTTGCGATGCTTGAACGCGTGGTGCCAGCGCTGCCACTACTGCTACCGGTGACAGCCCCAGATTCAGCCTGGAGGCGACTGAGCGGTGGCAAGAACGTCGCGACCGGCATGTTCGCGGGGAGGCACGGCAGAGGCGCCTCGCACCGCAGCACGTTGACCGCCTGCCTGATGGATGGCCTCAGGGCGCGGTCAGGGTGCGCGCACCAGAGCGCGGTGACCATCACGCGCTCCATCTCCTCGCCGTCGAGTTGTTCTCTGTCCAGCCGTGCGTCCGCTGCGTCGAGGATCCTACCTTGGCCGTAGCATTCCCATACCCACTGCACCAGGTGCACGGTGGCGTACTCCTCCTCCGTGTCCTGTAGCGCCACGATTGGCCGCCGGCCGGTGGCGACCTCGAGGACGACGACGCCGAAGCTGTAGACGTCGGAACTGGTGCTGGCGCTACCACTCAACATGCACTCCGGGTCCATGTAGCCCATCGTGCCAGCGAGCGCAGTTGTGTGCGATTGGCGCTCGTGGTCGACCAGCCTCGCGAGCCCGAAGTCGCCGAGCTTGGCGGTGAAGGAGGCGTCGAGCATAACATTGCTTGGCTTGATGTCACGGTGCAGGACGCACTGCTCCCACTCCTGATGCAGGTACAGGAGTGCAGAGCCGATTCCAAGCACGATCTCATGCCTAATGAACACATTATTACGTCATAAAATTAATAAGCATTTATTACTAGAAATTGCTGAATAATGCACGGATCATCTGTTAAAAAAATAGTATGGTGCGGTACCTGAGTTGCCACGACAGCACATTGTTGTGGCTGTGGATATGAGAGTCAAGGCTTCCATTGGGCATGAGCTCGTAGACAAGCAAGAGTTCGCCGCCGCCATGGCACCAGCCGATGAGCTGCACGAGGTTGCGGTGCCTCAACCGGCTTATGATCTTCACCTCGGAGATGTACTCCTTCCTCCCCTGTTTGGAGTTCTTTGACACTCTTTTTATGGCGACGTGAAGGTCCATCTCTTTTAAGTACCCTTTGTACACTGACCCGAAACCCCCTTCGCCGAGCTTCTCCGATTCGGAGAAGAAGCTGGTTGCCATGGCCAGCTCGCTGTACCGGAAACGCCTCGGCCCTGTTCCTTTCTCAAACGACTCGTCATCCAAAGGCTCGTCGTCAAACACGTCTAGTTGGCGCTCTCTTGCCTTTCGTCTCCGGCGCCGACGCAGCAGGAATAAAACAATGGCGCCGGAGCAGACGGCAAACGCCACGGAACCGACAGTCACGCCGGCCACCAGTGCCACCGTCGTCGGTCCTGGGGGAGGCGATGGATCTTTTCTCACGAAACACGATTATGATGTATAAACGTGAGAAACAGATTATGATGTGCAAATTAAGTGACCACAGATGACAGCTTGATACTAACCCGGTGGTCGCACTTGCACAGTCGTCGGCGACGGCGGTGGCCGCGACGGCGGTGGCCGCGGCGGCGCTGCCGTATCAGGCGGGATGGTGATGCCGAGGTTTTCCCCGATCTTGTACGCCACGTAGCAGCTGTACCCCTTGACGGTGCCGTAAGTGTTGTTTGGGTGCGAGCTCGACAGCTCCGCGACGAACTTGGCGAGGCACCTGGCGCACTCGCTGCCGTTGAGGTCCCTGGTGCACTGTGCCAGCCCGTACATCACGTGTGAGCTGCCCTGCGAGTCCGTGTACGCTTGGCTCCCGTTCGCCAGACGCAGCGAGTTGCCGTTGCCGGCGGCCTCCTCCGCGAGCCGGGTCATCAGGCTCCACCGTGTAGCGTTCATGGCGGCCATGTCGGTGACGAAGGCGTCGACCCAAACGTAGAACGCCACGGTCAGGTCGGCGACGGAGAAGAAGGACACGTTGGAGTACTGGACGACGCAGGCGTCGTAGCAAGCCTTCATCTCCCGGCTGAATGGACAGATCTGCTGGACCCCGGCGGCCGCGGCTCGGAGGCAGTTCTGGCACTGGGTCCAGTTCCGGTCGGCGTAGCACATGATGAGCCCAAACACCTCATCTGGCGCCTGGCCGGAGGTGCCCTTGTCGAAGCCTCGGTTCGCGATGGCGCTCTGGGGGAGGGAGGACATGAGGTCGCCGAGGTTTACCTGGTAATCGCTGGCGGTGGTGAAGTTGCCCGTCGTCGAGCAGTAGGGCCCTAAAGGGATGTAGGGCTGTCCGACCACCACTACTACCGCCGGACCGGCGAACGACAAGACGACAGCAAGCACGATGAGGAAGCTCTGTGGCGCCATGCTAATGTCGAAGGAGCAAGACGCTACTGGCTATCTGCTTAGATATTGGACAATTGCTTCTCTGGATTCTGTGAACTCTGTGGTCAATGGATAGGAAGTTAGCAGGAACTGTTCAATGCACTGGTACAGTCTCCTTTCGTGGTCAAGGGGACGGGATAGGAACTTTCCAATGGAAATAGCAGAGATGGCTTAACGCCAACGCAAGTCTGAGCTACTCGACAGTGTTGGACAGCGATGGGACTTAATCAATCACCTGTTTTATTTAGCCCTTGTTTAGTTGTAGGAATTTGGATTTTGGGGCTACTGTAGCACGTTCGTTTTTATTTGATAAATAGTGTTCAAACATGGACTAATTAGGTTCAAAACGTTCGTCTCGTAATTTCCCACCAAACTGTGTAATTAGTTTATCTTTTCGTCTACATTTAATGCTCTATATATAAGCCGCAAACATTCGATGTGACAGATACTGTAGCAACTTTTTGGAAATTGGGGTGGAACTAAACACGCCGTTAATGGGGACCGGTTCAGCTTGCTCCCATAGCTAGTTTGGCGAAAGAAATTATGGAGCGTTTGTTTGAAGAATCAATCCATTCTTGATGGGTGATGCGCACTGACTGTGACTGAGCACGACGGTGTGGAGCGGTAAGTCGCGTGAGCCTTCTTCTCCTGTTGCACGCGCGGCACTGGTGTGGTCTCTTGGGCTCCTAATTTTTTACTATTTAGTCTTTTTGAAAAAAAAATATACTTAGTTTCGAGAGAAATAAACTCATCTTTAGACCTAGGATCAGCAACATGATTCATGACGTCGAGATAACACGTCTCGACGTCATAGATAAATCTAAACTTTGAGGTCGGCGCCACAGATCGCCACGCAATCTGGCGCCGAGCATGGACGTATGCGACGTCACACTTTGTCTGCTTTTAATTCAAAAGCTAGCGTGTACCAGTGTCCTTCTTCTATGGGCGTCAGGACGGAGAAGCCGCACCATGTCCGTGTCAGCGCGTGGGACTGCAGCCCGCAGGCCCGCACGCCCAACGAGTGGCGGTAGTGGCCTGCCGCCTGCCTGGTCCGTTGAGTTTGACTGGACTCAATCACATTAATGTTTGCACGGTGTCTTGGGTCTACCTACAGCAGTAGGTCGGTCCACAACTGAGGCCTTTGAGAAACTTACCACAAGAATTCACAGCGTGTTTAGTTCTGGTTTGGTTTCACCCTAACTTTCAAAAAGTTGCTACAGTACCTATCATATCGAATATTTGTGCCCTGTGTATGAAGCATTAAATGTAGACGAAAAGAAAAACTAATTGCACAGTTTGGTGGGAAATTGCGAGACGAACGTTTTGAGCATAATTAGTCCATATTTGAACACTATTTACCAAATAAAAACGAACGTGCTACAGTAGTCCTAAAATCCAAATTTCTCCAACTAAACAAGGGCTTAGTTCCACCCCAACTTCCAAAAAGTTGCTACAGTACCTGTCACATCGAATGTTTGCGGCCCATGCATGGAGCATTAAATGTAGACGAAAAGATAAACTAATTGCACAGTTTAGTGAAAAATTACGAGACGAACGTTTTAAGCCTAATTAGTCCATATTTGAACACTATTTACCAAATAAAAACGAACGTGCTACAGTAGCCTCTAAATCCAAATTCCTACAAGGGCTCAGAATCTGGTGAATGATTAGAGTGAGAAAAAGTTGAGCTCCGCTGGGAGAGAAGCGCTTATCAAGGCTGTGGCACAATCAGTGTCTACATATTCTATGAGCTGCTTTGAAACCAGAAGCTACAGTTGAGAGAGTTCATAAACTCCTCACTTCAGAAGGCTCTGCTTGGAATGAATAGGTTTTACAAGAAAATTTCTTAGAAGCTGATGCAAAGGAAATCCGGAAAATTCCACTTGGAAGATTAAAGGAGGATATGTGGGCATGGAGTGCAGAAAAAAATGGCATATACTCTGTCAAATCTGCATATCGATTAATATCCCTCTCAATGCGTATGTTGGAATATAACAAAACAAATACTGCAAATTCTTCAGTAAGTGAGGATAATCCATTTTGTAAAAAGGATATGAAAAATGGCAATTCCTCCCAAAGTGAAAGTTTCTTTGTGGCGGGTGATGCATAACTTTGTGCCGGTTAAAGCACATCTCATGGAAAGGCATATAGAAAATCAAGGTACACTAGAAACACCGGCGCGGCTTTGCCGCGCCCTTTATAGAGCACACCAGCCCTTTGTATTTTGTATTATATATCACACTTGAATTAGGCTGTTGACATTTTATCAGCCTGAAGCTCATTTGTATTTTCCTAATTGTATCGACAAGATCAATGTTTTCTAGGGGTGCAACCTTTATATGCATCACTATTTGTATGTGAAAGTCTATAGGAAAGCTTAGAACTAAGATGTTACAAATTACCATCCTAAGATATTTGAATACACATCATGCGTACAATGTTGATATCAGCATATAGATATGGTGCATGCATGGAGTGATATAGAAAGCACATAGGAGTACGTGATTGTACATAGATGTTATTTACATGATGATTTCTCTATATATAATAATGTAAGCATGATCTATGAAAAATGATTAATATTGATCTGTCGACCTCAAAACCGCTTACCGCTCCTTTGCTTTTCTAGCATCCCCTCACTGCTTTTTCTATCATGCTCACTGCCTTTTCTAGCATATGCATTAACTGATCCCTTATTCAGATTGGAATAAAGTCTTTACTAACATGTGTGTTGAAGAGGCAAACAGGGAAATAATATTACACTAAACATAAACATATATCTTACAGAGAAAGCACCCAATAAAGCATAAGGTATTTCTTTAACTTTGAAAATTGATAAACTCTGCTAGTTGTCAGCACTGCTTTTTGTATCATATAAGTAAATTGCACAAAAGAAGGGGGAAATGCACCGTAGATTGTATAATTTTTTTTCTCATAGTTCACATGATGTACATAAGCATGCATTTGCTTCATACTATGTTATCTGAAGGCAATAGGTTATAAATTATGGAAAGGAAACCTTAAAATTGTGTTACAATCAGGAAAGCTTAGAACTAAGATGTTACAAATTACCATCCTAAGATATTTGAATACACATCATGTGTACAATGTTGATATCAGCATATAGATATGGTGCATGCATGGAGTGCAGTTCCTTGACGCTTGATATAGAAAGCACATAGGAGTACGTGATTGTACATAGATGTTATTTACATGATGATTTCTCTATATATAATAATGTAAGCATGATCTATGAAAAATGATTAATATTGATCGTCAAATTTCAAAACCGCTTCGCTCACTTTTTTTCTAGCATCCCCTCACTGCTTTTTCTATCATGCTCACTGCCTTTTCTAGCATATGCATTAACTGATCCCTTATTCAGATTGGAATAAAGTCTTTACTAACATGTGTGTTGAAGAGGCAAATAGGGAAATAATATTACACTAAACATAAACATATATCTTACAGAGAAAGCACCCAATAAAGCATAAGGTATTTCTTTAACTTTGAAAATTGATAAACTCTGCTAGTTGTCAGCATTGCTTTTTGTATCATATAAGTAAATTGCACAAAAGAAGGGGGAAATGCACATGCCATGGTTGTAAGATGAGTTCACCTGCAGTTGCATAATGTGAGAAGATGTGTCAGCATTTAATTCTGAATACCCTCGTGTTCATGGAGAAGTGCAAGTATAGCTATTTATTGTATTGAGTCCAAAAGTAGATACTAAGGAAAAATATAATTCACCCAGGGAGATAACCACTCAGAGCAACATTCAAATGAAAAAATTATGAAAAATATCAGCTTGTTTTCATTCATATTCAAGTATTTCCAGAGGTATTCAATTAAAGAAAACTTATAGCCATGTTATTGATCCTTCTGTCACCTCGGCAAGTAAAAATTGAAAGTTATGATTCATGTGTTGTAAAAGATGAGTTTAACTGTAGGGAAGCCCCATGCTCCTTTATCATGCCAATCATTCTTTAGGGTTGGTTGAATTCTCACCTTTACAAACAAGGCCGAAAGGACTAGCAACCATGAAAGCTCCATCATCTCGCACTTGCTTATCGTCAGTTCGTCACCCCATACTAACTCTCTGTATTAAATATGTGAAGGTAGTCTACCTATCAACAATTTCTTATTTACTGATTCTTTTAGACTATCACATATTTGATTACTCTCCCATGCTAGTTGTAATCATCGCTACCGAACTGCTTAGAAAAGCAAATAGGTAAGCAAAGCAAGCAGGATCGGTTTGTTGACATTCCCAGATTAACCATTCTTGACAGACGCACCATGCATCATCACAAAGACTATCAAAGAGGTTTGGCTAGAAACAATAATGCAAACAAGATCACGAGCACAGATCCACACAAGCATTTATTTATGGCATACACATGGAGAATTGGAGACAAGGATGTGTTTGCTTTACCTCATGGGCATTTCGTCAATACCACATGGGCCCTATCGTGTTAACATCCATCAGTAGTCCAAGATGGTGGTGGGTGCCGCCGGAGAACCTTAACGCCGATGTAGGTGGCTGTGTATTCCCTCGTCGAAGCTCCGTCCGCACACACACACACTGGGGGGCACGCCCTCACGGCTCTACCTTGGCTCCTTGACGCGCAGTGGACACCACCGCATGCATATAGTCGTGGCATTGAGAAGCGTCGTCCCCGAGCCAGGCAAGGTGGCAACGCCTCCATGAGGGCCCAGATCCGCCCCTGCCGATGGCCACGCGCACCTAGTCCACGCCTACTCCGTGTCTTCGTGGACTTTTCTCCGTATATCTTTGGCCGGGCGGGCGGCGGAGCTCAGACGCGCTGCGCCGAGCCGCCGCCAGCGGCAGCGCAGGGGACAAAGCAGGGGAAGAAGATCAAGAGGAGGGTAAGGCAAAGTGACGGAACCGGCGGCGGCAGTGCGATCCGCGGCAGAGGGTGGTGGCTCTACGACGGACGGTTCGTGTGCGGCGCTAGGAC